GCACGGAATGCCGTGCGCCAACGTGCGCGAACTCACGACATTGCAGTTTCGCAACCGAAAAAAAAAAAGCCTAACAACGAAAAGAAAAGCTTGTGCAAGCACACAAAAAGTGCCTACGAATCTTATGCTATGAAACCAGCGACTGCTTTACAATTACACGCCCGGTGCCGTTGATCTCGTTCCATAGCAGACGACGCACAGCGTTGAAGGCACGGAGTTATTTTTCTCTCGCGATCCGGCATGTGCTGTAGCATTTCCATCATTACAGTTTTACCAAAGCACTCTTCTCGATACACAAATCTTATTTATACCTATAAATACGCATTTTAGAAGCAGTCACAATTTTTTGAGTGGGACTATTTCCTTAATCGCGGAGCAAATTGGCTGCAGCGCTTCTGTCATCTGGGCGGGGCCTCTTGTACCAGACTATAGATACCCACCATCTTGCATTCCGTGGCACCCTCAGCTGCACACATGGAGAATACGAAAAACGTAAGCAGCTTTCCGACCGTGGCACTAAAGCCCTATACACATACAGCTACGACAAATCTGCTCAGCCGCTACAATGTGGCTGGTAATCTCATAGTTATGGCGACCGAACATATGATTCCGGAAGTATGACAACCACACGATTAAGTGGTTTATCATCCGGAAACCACGATACGATTATGAAGGTCGGCGTAGTAGAAGGCTCCGAGAATATCAACCATATAGGGTTCTAACGTGCACCTAAATGATAAATCTAAGCACACGAGCATCAAGCATTTTTGAATTCAGCAAATACATGGTTTTCGTGCCTTAAAAACGAGATTTTTGTAGCGCTGCGTGTGCATATTCACTGCCCAACTCACGAGTGCCGAGAAAGCCAGACTGTCCCCACACGCACCTCAACAACTCTAACCACTTCCTACAAGCGGAAGAAGTAATTAGCACGAGAAAGTCGTCGGGGACAGTTGATTCACAATGCAATGAGTGTGCGGAGCGCCTCGTTGTCACTGTATACAAGCAGCTCCATTTCACTCCCGGCAGCTGCTTAGACTGTAAAAGGAGGAAGCGAGCGAGCGCTTCTAGACCAGCCATGGCGAAACTGATAAAATAGTTCTTTTTTACATGTCAGATGGCGCTAAGTTACTTTCACAAGCGCTCTGAACGGGGGCAAATATTGAGTGTAAATATCGACAGCATACTATGTATCGGCAAAGGCAAGGTTATGAAAGTGTTAACCGAATTCTAAAAGCACTTTAACATTAACCTGTGTACTTATGTGCGTCACAGTCAAAAGCCACACTAACAAAAAATTATCCTTTACTTTGGTGCCACCGTCAGTGTAGGAAAACGCGAGAACAACCGCTGCTTGAGAATAACTTCTTGTGCACACCACTTAAGGGGGGATGCTACACCTTCCAAAAACTCTCTTATTTTTGCGAGTACCTCAGTCAAATTTGGAGAGCCTATGTAGATTTTACTGCTGATTTCAAAAATCTAATTCTTTTTTTGCTGTGACAATTAGTTTTAAAGATATAATGGACTGCGACTTTTTCAATTAAGGCCTAATTAGCTAATTAACTGTAACTTGGAAATTGATGTGCAACCTATAGAACCAATTCGGTATGTTCACAGTGTGCAATAAAGTATAAATCATTGTTCTGGGCTATTTCGAAGCAAAGTTGTGGGATGTTGAATATGACATGAAAAATTTCCCCATCTACACTTGAAACAAAAGATCCATTTAGAGAATTTTCTCCAAAAATTATTACAATAAAACTTACTTTACGGCACATCCCCTGCATTTATCTTCGAAACAAAAAAGAAATCGTAATGATAACCCAGATAGAACAAGAGATATTGCTCCCGCATAATGGGAAGCACATGAAAATTGTCGTTTTGAGAAATCGAGAAAAAACGTGGGCACACATTTTTATTGCAGAAGATGCAACAAGACAACCTCGAAACGCACCAGAAGCATAGTCTGAATGCATTCTGTGCTCATGCCTCCTCTTCACTAGCTTCCGGAGTTCCAATGAGGCTGTTCTTTTCTTGTTGGAGACAATGCTGCAACGGTGGTCTTTTTCTCTCGCTCTCCTGGCACCAGTACTTGTCGCATTCATGTCCATTTCACCTAAGATTGTCGTTGCAGAATTCAAATTGCCCGTGTTGAAGCGCAGCACTGCTTCTGCAACAGCTGCTTCAACAGCGAACAGGGACGCATGGTGCTCCTTGGGGGCCAAACTCCAGATTACCGAATGTAGGCTCTCGTTGGAGTTCTGCGCTTTGCCGCGTTCGCACCTCTGAAGCAGGGCTCTTTCCGAAAGCCGGGTATAAACCGGTAGTAATGCCTCTGCCACGTCTTTCGGTAGATTGTAGGCATGCCTGGGGTCGGGCTCACCCTTTGCTTTTGCGGCATTGTGCCGACACCATGAAGTTTCACCAGCTGGGCACAGACTGTGGTCCGAGCATTCATCAGTGGAGGTGACGTGGCGGTATGTGGCCATCACAGCCTTTTGCATCTCGCCCACGTCACTTTCATGCGATTTCAGAGCCCGGCCATAATATGTGCTCAGCCTGGTGATCAGCTCACCTGTGAGCCTGCCTTTCCCACCAAGGCCTCTTTTCCCATCGCACTTTTGTTTCTGCACCAGGTTTCTCAATGCGGTGCCCATCCGTTTCTGTACATGATTAATACAGTCTTCCTTCTGCACGTCAATGTAACCATACACCTTGGCGTCTTGTATGGCGCAAAATGTCCTAGAGTCTCCATCAGACAGCATAGTTGTGTAGCGCAGGCCATGGCGTTCAAGCGACCTCTGAAATAGAATTAGAGCCGCCTCCACTTCCATTTGCCCCGCTTTGCTGTTCGTATTTTTTTGGCATTTGTGGTTAGCCTTCCATTCTTGATAGCCCTCACTACTAGGCTTTGGGCCCACCTCGCAGCCTAGGCAAAAGTTGGAAAGAACGACGTAGTCCAACACGTAGCCACTAAATAATTCGATAACTGTGCCCACGCCGATGTGGGAAGAATGGCCTCGCGTCTTCCACGTGCCGTCGTAGCTAACGGCAATATTGCCCCGGTGGCCGAAGCACAAGTCATCATAAATTGTTCTAACCTTTTCCGCACATTCGCTCATAGCGGACTCAGCCGCTCGCGTTGCAGCGGGTGCCAGCGTGTTCTTCAAATGCCGCTGAAACGTCTTGTGGTGCATACCGCGGTGTGAGATGCCCATTGTTGCAAAAATATCGTTCATTTTCGTTTGGCCGTTGCCGGTAGCCACCATCGTCCTCGAAGCGAGAAGATTTACTTCAAACGGATTGCACGTTTTCGTGCCGTTCGCGCGGGGCGAAGTCCATTCATTCGCGATCTCGCCGCACCTTTCACACTGCACTAGCACTTTCACGGCAAGTCCGTAGTCCCGATTTCCTCTGACGATCGTAGCCGGTCCGTGGCAGGCTTTGCAACACAAGGCACCCATTATCGCGTTTAGGATATCTAGATGCATAAGCAGATAAGGAGCAGCGTGGTCCAAGTCCTGTGCGGTTGCCTCGCTACAACTCGCGGTGAAAAAGTCAATTTTCTGTGCAGTTGCTGGCGCCGATGAAAGCCGGTCGAGCGTCGCTTTCTCCCGGGCATGATTTTCTTCAACTTCGGCGTTTGTCACCACCTTGGCGTCGATTCGTAGTCGTCCGGAGTTCGCTTCACCGTCATCGTCGTCGGAGGCAACGCGCTCGGTCGCACCATCGCTGAACGGCCGCGGAGCGTCGACACATCGTTCGTCGGAGTCAACCAAGGGCTCTGATGACTTCGTAGACTTTCTCCCACGACCTTTGCATTTCCTGCGACCAAATGCGTGCACGGTCCGATACTTTTTTGCGTTTCCAGGCATGGCGATACGATCAGAAGCTTCAGAGTGCTCTGCCGATTTCGAGGCGTCACAGCGGTAACCCTTTCAAAATGGCGTCGGGTCGCGTGTGCAGGCGCAAGCCGCGAGCTTCCAGCCAACCGGAAAGCGCCATTTCAGTCACGTGCGTCGTTTAGCCAATGGCAGTGAGCGCGGCTCTTCGTCTTTGAGGCCCCGTTTTTCGAGCCGGGGAAACGCTCAATGTTGCTTACTGAATAAAAGAACAGCTGAAAACGCGTTCTTTCAAACAAGACCAAAATGGCGCCGATCGAGCGCGTAGTTCCCGCGTATCGTAGAGCCGAAACCTGCGCTATTCGCCCTCAATTTAAAGGGCAGGACGCCCGTTTTCGGTTTTTTAAAGTTGAATAACGATAAAAGTTGATGGTATTCGGCTATGAAATTTTGTAAATAGGTGCGCAATGATGTCGGGAACGCGAAAAGAAGGTCCGCGAAAACTCGATTTTTTGGCTGATTTTCGGTCTTGAAGTGCCGCGTCCCCCCTTAAACTTAGGAAAAGGCTCTCGATAAGCCTAACTAGAAATGCCCCCAGGATTTGGATCAAAGCTTCTTGTACGTCTTGGAGCAACATGTGGATATGTCATAGACAGCTCTGAATGAAAGTTACTACTGTACTGGTACTCGTGAATACGTGGCACGTAATGACAGTTGGCCATGGCAGCCCAGCCATTTTTCTGCATGACACCATTCTAAGATTCAAACAAGAAGGAAGTCGCCAAACAAGAAGTAAGTCAAGGCACTTGGAGACTTCCTTCTTGTTTGCACGCCTCGTCTTTTAAAATGAATACATACCAACTACCTCAGCTCTTGGTTAACACCCGTGCTGTGTGAGAATAGACCAATTCCAAACCAATTCGTTCTTACTCAACCAAAAAAGCTATTGTCGGTGTGTGCTGTTTGGCTAGTGTGGCTACTTTGTTGGCAGGTAATCAGCTTTATTTGTAACAATTAGTGATATGGGAATGCAAATGTTCAGCTAGCAGCTATAAAGGAAGCAGATTTTTTCAGGGACAAGTAAAAAGTATGAATTACCTAACTTGTGCAATGGCTTTGAAATGCATTGAAAATAGAGCGAGGGGCCGACCAAACTTTGAATTATAGAGCCTTTATTATCACGGCATAGAAATGAATTAAAAAAAGAGCAGGGGACCGATGAATGTTTTGTTTAAATTATCAAGTCTTCAAGCCTTTACTGCATCACTCAGGGGCATCACTCAGGGGCAGCACTTGCTACAAAGCCACACCACAATTGGCTGTCATGGGTACAATAAAAATCGAATGCATTTCACAGATCGGATCCACCAGGATCTTTGTAGGCATTTTATGAATAAAGAACAATTGTACCATAGGAAGCTGTCAGCTTTGTCCAACTTACAAGCTTGCACACCTTTGCTTACAAAGCTAACATTTCTATGATCCCTTTAATTTTGTCTACAGAAAGTACATTTTACTGTGGCAGGCTGAGCAGAGTGCTCTGTCCTGCAGGAAGATAGACAACATTGCGCGATCGTGACAGCTGGTATGAGATGTCCTCAGCCGCTTCGAGTCGCCGAAGTTCAACCAGCGCATCACCAGCTTCGCCAAAAGCCTTGGCAAGTAGGGCTGCGGCCTGCGAGTCACCCTCTGCCGTGATGACAGCCGCCTTTTTGTGCTGTTCAGCTTTCTCAACCAGGAAGCGGGCCCGCTCAGCCTCCTGTTGGGCAACCTGCTTCATTTCAACAGCCTGCGTGAACTCCTTGCCAAAGGTCAGGTGCGTCTGCAAAACAAATGCATGTCAGTTATTGGAAATCCCATCTAATAGGTGCCATCAACAACAACACCTTTGATGGGCTAGCTGCAACAGCTTTGGGCCACTCGGAAAGTATTTCTCAAAGCACCAGTTCATGGCAATTCCCTACGTGACCATGATAAAGCCTTGAAACTAGCAATTTCTTTCATAATAGGGTAGCACTGAGAAAATAATACTAAAGAAACCAAGACACATAACATAGGCACTACTAACAATGTTAGTGACGGCATAGGTTGCCAAAAATGTGGGACAGGCGCCTACTCCAGACCCACACGTTTCCTAGTCCGGTAACAATGAACCGCTGCGTGCCAGAACATTATTCGGTCAAGTGTAAATTTTGCCACAACAGGGCAGACTTAAGCCACATTTTATGGGCGTGCCCGCAGGCCCCCATGAGAGACGAATTTCCAGACTGGAGTGGATGGGATACCGTGCTCCTCAGCTCTCACTTTCAATTACAAGCCCGCTTAATACGGCAGGCCGAAGACGCCGCCAGGGCCCATGGGATCGTGGCCGTCGTCTAGGTTTGGTTCTCCCTTCTCCTCTCGCACCTGAAAGGGGAGGAGGACCCTTCTGCTAATTAAAAAAAGTTTGTTCATCATCATCATCGCTCACTCATGAAGTCCATTTTGCCTCTTGAGCTCACTTGGACTCAAAATTTTCCTTGCACACACTCACTTGCACTCAGGCTCATAACAATTTTTTCCAATCAAACTCACTCTGAATCACACTCACTAAGACTCGCAGCTCGAAGTCTGAGTGAGCCAAATCATGAATCCATTATTATGCATTTAGTAGTTTTGCTTTAGTAGCTTTTCAGACCAAATTTTCAAAACGCTTAAAGAATGCTCAATGTTCGCATAATTGGTGCTCCAAGGCATCTTTCGATCTCATATCATTAAATAGGAGTTATCAGTGATTGCAATCCAGTTGGGGCACTGTTATAAAAAAAAATTACACACGAAACGAGCAGCGAATCACAGGTTATTAAAATACCGTATTTACTCGATTCTACCGCGCCCTCGATTGCAACGCGCACCCATTTTTCTCGTTGGCCCGCACGATCACACCACTCAAAAAGCGACTCCTTTCGGGAGCATCTTCTATTTAAATATGAGGTACTGGGGAAGTTTGTGCCCATCTGACGTGTAACAGAGCATTGCCGTCACTGTAGTTTTACCATGGACCGATGTCAGCACGCGAACTTGCTTCGCCCCCTTCTCGACGGTTGTGGTGCCAGGCATGTCGAAGAGGCGTCTGATCGGCATTCCCGATTTGCCCAAGCAGGTAGCCATTGTTGTGCCGCAAGTTTAGGAAGAACCTCTGAAAACTGTGAGGCTTTTCATCGTACTCCTCCGGAAACTTTTCGCGTATACCCGTTCCCCTTCGGAGGGAAAAGCCTTTCCTCTTCATAAAGTTAGTTAGCCAGCACCTGCTCGCTTTAAAGTGGCTCCGCATTAGCCCTTTTTCTAAGGCTAACTGCATAACCCGCCCTTGGAGCAGTTCTGTCGTCACACCCTGCTGTGCCGCTGGCTGCTCAAGCGCATACTCGCCGAGCAGCTCTTCAATTTGCGGAAACCGACCCTGCTGTAGTCCACTGAAGCCTTTGCGTGAAGCTTTGCTGTCGACAATCTTCTGCTTTTGTTTCCGCCAGTCCCGCACGCACGTTTCGGGAACTCTGAACGACCGCGATGTGAGCCGATTTCCATCCGTTTCTGCACACGTGACGACTTTTCTTTTAAAAGCGGCATCGTGGTGCACTCGAGGTTTTGAAGTCGGCCCTTCCTTGCCGTCGATGCTAATGTACTACAAGATGACTAACTCCTCAGCACACGTACGAAGTGCCGCACATGGGAAACACATAGGCAGAAATGGCCGACGCGCCTCGCCGACGCACGGGCGGCACGTAGGGGGCGGCCATTTTGGAAATGCCGATGGCAATAGAATGACCGTATTCATTTTTTTTTCGTACTCGATTCTAACGCGCATGCGATTTATGAACTAGCTTAACCGGAAAAAAGGTGCACGTTAGATCCGAGTAATTACGGTACTCTTATGCCTAACTCTTCCAAATCTAGGGTCCTAAAAACCTCCTGTAAACCAGGGTGAATATCATTAGTAAGATCGTCTCTCCCTGCCTTTAACCCTTCTTTATCGGGATTTTGTCGCTTTTTTTTATGTAGGACTATGGCGACTGTGGATCCATTTGTTCCAGTACGTTTATGTAGGCTTCATAGTGCCCTGATTACGCAGCGCCTGCACGACTACTGATATCTCAACCGGATCAAATTCATTCTCGTAATCTATGAATGCCATGTATAGCAGTTCGTTGCATTTTGCGTATTTCTCTATCACCTTGATAGTTTGAATACGGCCTATTGTTGAGTAGCCTGTACAAAATCCTGCTTGGTACTTTGGTTAATTGAATTACTACAAATAACACTCCCAATACTTTTTGACTTCCTTGTATGCTAAATCTAATTACAAGGTTCGTGCTCATTTACATGACAAAAACAGTGATGCTACACCTTTTCCCTTTTTTTTAGGGGTGTGCGAATATTCGAAAGTTTCGAATATTCGTCGTATATTAAATTCGCACTATTTGTATTCGATTCGAAAAAAGTGTATTCGAAAAGTTCGAATATTCGAATCACTTCGAATATTCGACAATATCGAATATTTGATTGGATTATCATGCAGGAAATAACTCTTCTTTAATATTTCCGCTGGGTTCAGACATATTAAAACGTTGCCCAGAGGGGCGATAAGCGTCAGAAGTGCACGGAGGCACTATGTCGGCCAGCGACGGTCAACAATCAGCAGCAAAGTTGACGTTCGTGTAAACGTATTGCACGCTTTTCTTATGCCGCCGTAACGTGGTGCACTACCACACGTTCACTATGCGGGACCTCGTGTGCAGGAACGAAGCTTACCGTATTTACTCGATTCTACCGCGCCCTAGATTGTAACCCGCACCCGATTTCCAAAGAGGGAAAAAAAAAAAAACGTAAGACATCGATTGCAACGCGCACCCATTTTTCTCGTTGGCCCGCACGATCACACCACTCGAAAAAAAGACTCTTTTCGGGAGCGTCTTCCATTTAAATATGAGGTACGGGCGAAGCTTGTGCCCATCTGACGTGTAACAGAGCATTGCCGTCACTGTAGTTTTACCGTGTCAGCACGCGAACTTGCTTCGCCCCCTTCTTCTCGACGGTTGTGGTGCCAGGCATGTCCAAGTAAAGAGGCGTCTGATCGGCATTCCCGATTTGCCCAAGCAGGTAGCCGTTGTTGCGCCGCAAGTTTAGGACGAACCTCTGAAATCTGTGAAGCTTTTCATCGTACTCATCCGCAAAACTTTTCGCATATGCATGTTCCCCTTTGGAGGGAAAAGCCTTTCCTCTTCATAAAGTTAGTTAACCAGCACCTGCTCGCTTTAAACTGGCTCCGCATTAGACCGTTTTCTAAGACTAATTGCATAGCCCGCACTTGGAGCAGTTCTGTCGTCACGGGCCGCTGTGCCGCTCGCTGCTCAAGCACATACTCGCCGAGCAGCTCTTTAATTTGCGGAAACCGACCCTGCTGTGGTCCACTGAAGCCTTTGCGTGAAGCTTTGCTGTCGACAATCTTTTACTTTTGTTTCCGCCGGTCCCGCACACACGTTTCGGGAATTCCGAACGACCGCGATGCGGCCCGATTTCCGTTCGTTTCTGCACACGCGATGACTTTTTTTTTTAAAGCGGCATCGTGGTGCACTCGAGTTTTTGGAGTCGGCCCTTCCACGCCGTCGATGCTAATGCACTACTAGATGACGAACTCCCCAGCACACGTACGAAGTGCCGCACATGGGAAACACAAAGGCAGAAATGTCCGACGCGCCATGCCGACGCACGTAGGGGGCGGCCATTTTGGATTTGCCGATGGCAATAGATTGACCGTAATTTTTTTTTGTTCGTACTCGATTCTAACGCGCATGCGATTCATGAACTTGCTTAACCGGAAAAAAGGTGCGCGTCAGATTCGAGTAATAACGGTAACCGTTGCCGCGTTGTCTCATCAAAACATCGCTTGCTAACGCACGACCGTGCACGCACGTGCTAAAGCAGAAACTTCGTCACCGTCGGCAAACGCTTCGGTTAGAAAACATAATAAGTGACAAAAAGAGTTCTAGTGGTAATTTGTACCATGACGTCGCATTTATTTCCTTTTTCGAGGAAGTTCCGCACGTGAGCAGTCGCACAGTTATGCAACAAGCTAGAAAGCAGTTAGTCCCAACTCAGGATTTTATTGCTAAGTTACGTCGTATTCCCGGCAAGTATGCATTAAATAACTTGGACTGCATTCTAAACATATTGAATATATGAAACGGTAATCATGCGCCGACCTTTCAGTTTTATATATCTGTATATGCATATAAATATTTTTCGTGCTGGCCACCAGAGCACATGAGTAGTGGTAGTGCGCCATGTAGTGGTAGTGCGCCACAGTGCTACGTTAGTAGGGTCAGCGGCATTGGCTAATGCTGTTAGCCGCTACGATCAGTTCTGCTAGCTGCCATAAGTGCCATGGCAGATAGCGGAGGCTATGACGACTCGCCTGCGAAACGGAGGAACAATCAAGACACGGCGCCGAAACGAAGGGAAAGAAGCGCTATCTGGAAGCACTTTGTGAAGACATCGTCGTCGTTGGCGCAGTGCAAGACATGCGGTGCAACACTTAAAACGCCGACGGGTACGACTAGTCCTCTTGTTGACCATCTAAAACAGCACCCAACCGCGATGAAGGAGTACCGGATTACTGCAGCAGGTGCGCCAGAGAAAGACCAGTCAATGATATTTGATTTTGGGCACCGTATTGACCCTTTGTCGGAAAATAAAACTCAAGCACTCAATGCCAAGGTGGCTGCCATGGTAGCGCTTGATTTGCAACCATATAGTTTTGTTGAAGACCGCAGATTTAAGGAACTC